GTATGTGTCATTCCTGTGAAATTAAACACACAGGACATATTATCGAGAAAGTTAACAAGATGCAGGTTGCATAATTTTGAATTCAGACTGCAGTGAAGAAGACTTTAGTTATATTTACATGCAACATGGGTGGACAAATTTTTTTGTACAAATGTTCACACAATGCTTCACTATGGTTCCAATTCATGCATGTGAAAAATGCGATTGGATTTTCAACAGAAAAGATAAACTACTACGACATATCAAAACTGTTCATGAGGTCGCCAATTTAGCACAACTCATAGCAAAATTAGACACATCGACAAGATTCATAACAAAGGGGATACCACAGTCATTCGACGTTTTCTTGCAAACAAGACCTACAATACCATGATAACTTAAACCACACTATCTTAAAACCGTATATGTGTAAGGAATGCAATCAAGGATTTGAATCACCTAAGTGCCATAATATTTTATAAATATATAAATACAGCTAGTATACCATATTTAATTTGTGCTGTAATTTATGTATCACCTGGGCATATAAGTGTTTTCATATCAATTCAAGTACTTATACAGTAAGGTTAAGTTGTGCAACTAGTATGTAAAATACCTACCCATACCTAGGAATGGATATATATCAATAGAACAAATTTTACAAGGATATTCAGTTTAAAGCATAAATAAATTATTGTTGTTAAATATTGGATTAAACTTCTATTATCAATTATCATCATTATGTGTATAGACTTCATATGTATTTTATTGTTTTCAATATTAAACTTAGGTTTAATAATAATAATTTTTTGATATTGTATTCAACAATGCCGAAATAGATAATATGATAGCACTCTTGTGATACGTGAGGTCGCCAATTTAGCACAACTCTTAGCAAAATTAGACACATCGACAAGATTTATAACAAAGGGGATGCCAAAGTCATTCAACGTTTTCTTGCAAACAAGACCTACAATACCATGATAACTTAAACCACACTATCTTAAAACCGTATATGTGTAAGGAATGCAATCAAGGATTTGAATCACCTAAGTGCCATAATATTTTATAAATATATAAATACAGCTAGTATACCATATTTTATTTGTGCTGTAATTTATGTATCACCTGGGCATATAAGTCTTTTCATATCAATTCAAGTACTTATACAGTAAGGTTAAGTTGTGCAACTAGTATGTAAAATACCTACCCATACCTAGGAATGGATATATATAAATAGAACAAATTTTACAAGGATATTCAGTTTAAAGCATAAATAAATTATTGTTGTTAAATATTGGATTAAACTTCTCTTATCAATTATCATCATTATGTGTATAGACTTCATATGTATTTTATTGTTTTCAATATTAAACTTACGTTTAATAATAATACATTTTTGATAATGTGAACAACAATGCCGAAATAAATAATATGATAGCACTCGTGTGATACGTGAGGTCGCCAATTTAGCACAACTCATAGCAAAATTAGACACATCGACAAGATTCATAACAAAGGGGATACCACAGTCATTCAACGTTTTCTTGCAAACAAGACCTACAATACCATGATAACTTATACCACACTATCTTAAAACCGTATATGTGTTAGGAATGCAATCCAGGATTTGAATCACCTTATTTGCTACATATACATAGAAAATCAAATAAAAAACTAATTGATTAATAAGCATGAATACGATTAGAACTATAGCATGATACATAAATTCGATGGTACAATTATTTGTTTCATGTGTTTTTAGATTAGAAAATTAAAAGAAAAAATTGTAAGTGCCATAATATTTTAAAAATATATAAATAGTATAGGTACAGTAAACCATATTTTATTTGTGCTGTAATTTATGTATTACCTGGGCATATAATTCTTTTCAAATCAATTCAAGTACTTATACAGTAAGGTTAAGTTGTGCCCCTAGTATGTAAAATATATACCCATAAATAAATATATATAAATAAAAGAAAAATTTACCAGGCCATTCAGTTTAAAGAAGAAATAAATAATTGTGATAACATATTGGACTACACTTCTATTATCGTCATGTACCTGTAAGTCTACAGACTTCATATGTATGTTGTTGTTTTTAATTTTAAATTTATGTTTAATAATAATTTTGATGTTGTATTCAAATAAATAACATGAAAAATGAATAATTATATATATATATATATATATTAATATTTCTGATTTATATAATTTCAAATATTAATAACGCTATGAAAACCTTCCTACTGGGTAGACGATATGATAAATGAGTTTGGCCTAAAACAAATATCATGCAGCAAAAATTGAGGGAAATAAAGCCAAATCAATATAAATTTGATTATTATAGAGCAAGAGTACGATCAACAAATATTCATAAGTTACTCATTTTGTATTTTTTCTAAATGTTGGCTAGTATAATAATAAATATACGTTTATATACTGATTCTAGTTAAGGTAAATACTTAACTCTTTCAAACACAAACATGATACGAATAAAATAAAAATCATATTATTTACCATGATCAAAGTATAAGTATGGACTTGAAAATAATAGAATAACAAATTACAGAAACATTATTTTAAAACTCCCCAACAATATTCTTTATTGATTTAGATAGGCTGGCTATGGGTTATATTAAATTAGTAGTTTTGTCAGGCATTCCCAGAATTTTCACCTTAGTTGCGCCTATGACTTATACGATGTAAAATATTCTTACCATTATGTAAAGAAAAATGCTACTACTCAGCACATTTCACAAGATTTATATTATTGTTATCAGAGTTTGTTTATTTGTAATTCGAACGTAGTTCGAGACGTTTACACTTTCCATATACGTTGATTATAATAATAATACTATTATTATAGCTGGAACGCGTAGCCGAAATACGCACTTGTCATCCCGATAATTATTTATACAAAATATCGACCTCGTCGCGACGATTGGAATAATAATATTATTTAACACGTAGACGAATATACGCACTTGTCATCCCGATGAATATGCCTCGTTGCGAACAAGCATGGATCCAAAGCAAAGATCTGGGGGTGCCCCAACAATTTTTTTACAACACAAATCCAATTATGATAAAATATTATACTTTATTCTTAATTTGAAAATGTTGTCATAATAGTAGGTATAGGTAATCAATGTGATAAATAAATTAATAATTACTTAATATATAAAACGACAATGTGAAATTAAGTTTAGATTTTGTTTATTTGTTATTTAAAATAATATGATGTTTATATTTATAAATAAATATGTCTTGGGGGGGAAAGCAACCCCTTTATCCGTCCCTGGTTGAGATATCAATACACACACAATAATAATAATGTACTTGGGAAAATATAATTATGATTCCAGAAAGGGAAAAAGCGATATATAGGTTTTCAAAAAAAAATTTCGGAAAACGGGAATACCAGTATTTGACAAAAACGATTTTGTTGTAATTATTTTATCAAAAATAAATAACCACATAGACATACCTTCCTACATCAAATGTTGAAAAAAAATCTATCAAATTGTACATTAATTAATCATATTAAAAATGTTTTTTTCCGGTTAAAAAATACTTTGGCCCCTTCCTCATTTCCATTTTACAATAAAATACATATGAAGTCTATACACATAATGATGATAATTGATAATAGAAGTTTAATCCAATATTTAACAATAATAATATATTTATGCTTCAAACTAAATATCCTTGTAAATTTTTGTTCTATATATAATATATATATATCCATTCCTAGGTTTTGATAGGTATTTTACATACTAAGGCACAACTTAACCTTACTGTATAAGTACTTGAATTTATTTAAAAATAATTATATGCCCAGGTGATACATAAATTACAGCACAAATAAAATATGGCTTTTTTTTTTAAATTTTCTAATCCAAAAACACATGAAACAAATAATTGTACCATCGAATTCATGTAACATGCTAATATGCTATAATTCTAATCGTATTCATGCTGATTAATCGATTAGTTTTTTATTTGATTTTCTATGTATATGTAGCAAATAAGGTGATTCAAATCTTTGATTGCATTCCTTACACATATACGGTTTTATGATAGTGTGGTTGAAGTTATCATGGTATTGTAGGTATCAATACTATGTATTGTATGGTTTATTAGTAAAAAAGATGCGAATATTTTTGAATGATTTATACTACCTTGGTGTGTGATGGCTTCTACTGCTTCTAGAGTAAACGGCTCGATGGGCGAAGGAAAAATGAATTGTAATAACATATTAACTAGTAAGACCAGTGCCCGCTCATGATGCTAATAGACAGGGGAGTGGTAGAAGTACGGTGCGGCGATGACAACGAAAATTTCCAAACGCAATCCTGAAATAGACAGTAAAATAGAGATTGCAGCTATTGGTCGTGGGGGGAGATCGGCGCGGCGTGTGACGAGTCCAAAACTCGAATTACAAAACCAGATATGCCCCAGTTCAAAAAATCGTATAAAATCAGTGATTTTGTAAATATACTATATCCATGGAGATTTAATATTATTTATTATTTGTTTATTTACATATTTCATTTAATTCTACAATTAATACCAAACATTTTTACTACGAAAAACACAATTAAAACAAAATTTTCAACAAATGCATTTCAAATATTTAGTATCATATATAATTCGACAGTTCATTTCAGAGACCTTGGGCAAATCTATTCAAAATATATCTCCACAAGACTTCTATTGTTTTGCAAATTATCTTCGTTCTCGTCACGGAGGATTCGCGAACACTGTACGGGATATATTTGATATATTATTCGGTTTCCCTCCAAAATCACAGGTTATAAGTGATTTTGTTAGCAGTTGGATTCGAGTCACACATCCCATTGTAAATGTATATATTAACAATATTTAATAATATTTAATTTTTAAACAGTATGGTTTAAACCACATACGTTTTGTTTCAGGCAATTTATACTGATGATGGAAAATAACAATTAAAGCCTTTCAAATTTACGATAAATGACTTTGACGCTTACAACATGAAACGGGACCGATGGTATCTATCTATTCAAGGGCAGGCCTTTACGCCAGACAAACAAACACTTGCTGATATGGACCGCGTTTTTAACAAGTACAATTGGCCATCACATCCCACGTCAAAAGAAACGTTTATTGATAATCCACGAATCCGTCCTATATGCGAGGATGGTGCAGAATTGTCACCTCCAAGGAGACGACGAAAGGTACATGATTATAATTTATGCGTTCAAGAACAAATAAATGATGAGCAAGACAATGTTGTGCAATGCGAAAATATAGACCATAATATGTTGCCTAATAATATACCGCGAGAAGTGTCACCTCCAACGAGACTACGAATGGTACATGATGATAATTTATGCGTTCAACAACAAATAAATGATGAGCAAGACAATTTTTTGCAAGTCGAAAATATAGACCATAATATGTTGCCTAATGATATACGGCGAGAACCTTTGTTTGTGGTAGGAGAGGGTTTGAATGTGCTCACAAAAGGAGACCCCTACTTGGCCGGATACATTACGAGAATAGAAGGAAATGATATTTTCATAAAATTCCCGTTCGGAAGATTTGATATGTACGAATATAAATATGAAGAAGATTCCATATTACCATTTACAACACAATTTCCGAACGGCAAATTTACGCCGATAAAGATTATTAAAAGTAGACCACTGGCGTGTCAAAAGAGGAAAATTAAGGATTATGAAGAAAGGCTGCAGCAATATATTAACACACGGTGTGACTGATGGCGGTATACACAAATATTTATCAATATAATATCAAAAATTAAAAAAATAATAAATCTTACTGTATATTTTAATCATACTTGTATCTTATTTTTGAAACTAGTACACCTAATAGCCACCGATTATACCTATCTAACGATGTGGTTTTCCAGAATTGGATTTTTGGTGAATTTTCAAACCCAACATGTAAGAAAACGAAATGTATTACGATAATCAAATTGTATGACTGCATTCCTCATTACCTTTACTATCATCCCTTATTACTTTTGAGAACAACCAAAGATTTCATACATTTCAAACTTATCATCGTATAGAGTTCGATGCTGTGATAATTTTGAAATTTTTTCTGCTCATTGCAAACCATTATTTAAGGTGGTTTAGGGCGGGGACGGTGCGGGGGGACGGAATATTACGTAATCGGTAACCTCCTTCATCTGAATTAAATGCCATTGAGTCAGATATACTATTTAATTGAAATATGATGTCTTCTTCAGTAAGACCCCGAGGCATCTACATATTTTTACCAAAAAATTAAATGGTTATAAGTATATTTTGTAACCATAGAGAAATTATACATGGAATACATATCATATAATATATTAGTATATTACAGAATTGCCCCAAAACATTCCCGTTTTGGTCACATTTGGCCCGACATTTGGTTATACACAAAGACCCGCAATGGCAGTGCAATGTGTGCAAACTAAAATTTAAACGCGAAGACACATTGGACCGTCATTCAATTACTCACGACAACAACAGACATGCGTACAACTGTCTCCTATGTCTAAGTTAAATTTTTTGTTCAGGTTATAACATACTTCACCCCTCCCTCAGCCGTTGCAATATTGTTTGTTTAAATATTTTTTTTAATTTTAGCCATCTTGAGTCATGATTTTTAAAATGTGCATGATTCATTACCTATTTTAATGAAACATGTTGTTTAACCGGTATAGTTTTAGGAGTGTATTCAACAGGAAAAATAAAAAATTTAATAAAAATAAAAGAAGAAAATAATATAAAATACTGTTTTATAATTTACCTACTTACCTTTATTTTAATTTTCACTTACTAATTATTTAAAATTATAATGTCAAGTCATTAGGTGTTTTCCTTTATGATGAACATACTTTGAAATTTAAGTAATTTAAAGTATAAATATTTTAATTTTTTTTATAGGTAAAATGATAAATGTCAAATATCTTTAACGACAAAATTACATGATTGGTAAAATTAAGCATTAGTCAACATTTAGTTATCTTCGCGGAAAGTTTAAACATAATGAAATATTTATGCCTAAGAAATTAAATATCTTTGACGACAATGAATTTCAAAATGTTATACATGATGTAGGATGTGAACCATTTTGTATACATTACCATTGCACAGAACAAATACATTTGTATAGAGTATATTGTAATAGTACAGAAACTCCAAAACTAATAATTGATGCAACTGGTTCAATTGTAAAACCATTTCATAAATTTGGTATTGAAAAGACAAAATCGATTTATTTATACGAAGCATTTATATATGACAAAAATAAAAACATTACTGTCAAAAATATGGTTAGATCTAAAGGCCGGTTTTATATTCTCTTAAAATACCCAATATATGATGCTGAAAGTGAAAGTGGTGGCTACAAAAATCATTTACATGGATAACCAGATAATGGAATTATACATTTCAATGGCACCTGTCACAGTTGATTTTTTTTTCTGATAAAATACGAGAATATTCAGTGTGAAGTCAAAATATACAGGCCAAAACAAAATTGTGGCTTGGTCCAGCAAGTTTCCTAAATCCCTATTGTGAGGCGAACACAGATATATTGTCATTAGGAAATAAAAAATGAGACCTAGCGAAGAAATAACTGTGAACTTTGGCCCACATTATTTCGGACGAAAAAACGAAGAATGTATGTGTCATTCCTGTGAAATTAAACACACAGGACATATTATCGAGAAAGTTAACAAGGTGCAGGTTGCATAATTTTGAATTCAGACTGCAGTGAAGAAGACTTTAGTTATATTTACATGCAACATGGGTGGACAAATTTTTTTGTACAAATGTTCACACATTGCTTCACTATAGTTCCAATTCATGCATGTGAAAAATGCGATAGGATTTTCAACAGAAAAGATAAACTACAACGACATATCAAAACTGATCATATAAAAATGAAGCATTCTTGTGATATATGAGGTCGCCAATTTAGCACAACTCATAGCAAAATTAGACACATCGACAAGATTCATAACAAAGGGATACCACAGTCATTCGACGTTTTCTTGCAAACAAGACCTATAATACCATGATAACTTAAACCACACTATCTTAAAACCGTATATGTGTAAGGAATGCAATCAATAATTTGAATCACCTAAGTGCTATAATATTTTATAAATATATAAATACAGCTAGTATACCATATTTTATTTGTGCTGTAATTTATGTATCACCTGGGCATATAATTCTTTTTAAATAAATTCAAGTACTTATACAGTAAGGTTAAGTTGTGCCCCTAGTATGTAAAATACCTACCCATACCTAGGAATGGATATATATAAATAGAACAAATTTTACAAGTATATTCAGTTTAAAGCATAAATAAATTATTGTTGTTAAATATTGGATTAAACTTCTATTATCAATTATCATCATTATGTGTATAGACTTCATATGTATTTTATTGTTTTCAATATTAAACTTAGGTTGAATAATAATACATTTTTGATATTGTATTCAACAATGCCGAAATAAATAATATGATAGCACTCTTGTGATACGTGAGGTCGCCAATTTAGCACAACTCATAGCAAAATTAGACACATCGACAAGAATCATAACAAAGGGATACCACAGTCATTCGACGTTTTCTTGCAAACAAGACCTACAATACCATGATAACTTAAACCACACTATCTTATAACCGTATATGTGTAAGGAATGCAATCAAGGATTTGAATCACCTTATTTGCTACATATACATAGAAAATCAAATAAAAAACTAATCGATTAATAAGCATGAATACGATTAGAATTATAGCATGTTACATGAATTCGATGGTACAATTATTTGTTTCATGTGTTTTTGGATTAGAAAATTTAAAAAACACAGCCATATTTTATTTGTGCTGTAATTTATGTATCACCTGGGCATATAATTCTTTTTAAATAAATTCAAGTACTTATACAGTAAGCTTAAGTTGTGCATTAGTATGTAAAATACCTATCAAAACCTAGTAATGGATATATATAAATAGAACAAAAATTTACAAGGATATTTAGTTTGAAGCATAAATAAATTATTGTTGTTAAATATTGGATTTAACTTCTATTATCAATTATCAGCATAATGTGTATAGACTTCATATGTATTTTATTGTTTTCAATATTAAACTTACGTTTAATAATAATAAATTTTTGATATTGTATTCAACAATGCCGAAATAAATAATATGATAGCATTCTTGTGATACGTGAGGTCACCAATTTAGCACAACTCATAGCAAAATTAGACACATCGACAAGATTCATAACAGAGGGGATACCACAATTATTTGTTTCATGTGTTTTTGGATTAGAAAATTTAAAAAAAAAAATTTAAGTGCTATAATATTTTATAAATATATAAATAGTATAGGTACAGTAATCCATATTTTATTTGTGCTGTAATTTATGTATCACCTGGGCATATAATTCTTTTCAAATCAATTCAAGTAAGTATACAGTAAGTTTAAGTTGTGCCCCTAGTATGTAAAATACCTACCCATAAATATATAAATAAAAGAAAAATTTACAAGGCCATTCAGTTTAAAGAAGAAATAAATAATTGTGATAACATATTGGACTACACTTCTATTATCGTCATGTACCTGTAAGTCTACAGACTTCATATATATTTTATTGTTTTTAATTTTAAATTTATGTTTAATATTAATTTTGATGTTATACTCAACAACGCAGAAATAAATAATATGATAAATGAACATATATTAATATTTCTGATTTATATAACTAAAAATATTAATAACTCTATTAAAACCTTGATAGAATCAAAAGATGTAAGAGATGCATAATAATGTGTAAGTGTAATAATTTATATTTTTTTAATTTTATTAAAATATTTTAGAATGTAATCAAATTTAAAAGCAACAATTCTCTGCAATCAAAATTGTTCATCTCAAAGTGACATATGAGGTCGCCAATTTAGCACAAGTCATAGCAAAATTAGACACGTCGACAAGATTTATAACAAAGAGGATACCACAATCATTCGAAGTTTTCTTGCAAACAAGACCTACAATACCACGATAACTTAAACCACACTATCTTAAAACCGTATATGTGTAAGGAATGCAATCCAGGATTTGAATCACCTTATTTGCTACATATACATAGAAAATCACATAAAAACGAACGACTAAGAAGCAGGAATACGATGGGAACTATAGCATGTTACATGAATTAGATGGTACAATTATTTGTATCATGAGTTTTTGGATTAGAAAATTTTATAAAAAATTGTAAGTTCCATAATATTTTATAAATATAAAGGTAACGGATACGGTAAACCATATTTTATTTGTGCGGTAATTTATGTATCACCTGGGCATATAACACTTTTCAAATCAATTCAAGTAGGTATATATCAAGGTTAAGTTGTATCCCTAGTATGTAAAATACCTATCCATACCTAGGAATGGATATATATCAATAGAACAAAATTTTACAAGGATATATTCAGTTTAAAGCATAAATAAATTATTGTTGTTAAATATTGGATTAAACTTCTATTATCAATTATCATCATTATGTGTATAGACTTCATATGTATTTTATTGTTTTCAATATTAAACTTACGTTTAATAATAATACATTTTTGATATTGTATTCAACAATGCCGTAATAAATAATATGATAGCACTCTTGTGATACGTGAGGTCGCCAATTTAGCACAACTCATAGCAAAAAGCATTTCCTATACACCATACAAT